TGTGGGGGAGCCCCCTTTGCAGGATCGCCTGCGCACTGGGGGACACAGTGCTCCAGGCCACTGGCTGGCACTTACCAAGGCCCCTGTGGGGGCCTCCTGGGTCCGCTGGATTTGGGGGCTGGCAGTGTATGCTCCGTGCGGTGGTAACTCCCCTCCCTCCTCCGCCAGGGAGAACCATCCCAGCAGCGCACTTCCTGGAGGCCCCTGTGCCCGAGGCGCTTCCCACAGCCCTGCATGCGTCCCCTCCGGCGACTCCGGCCGCGAGTCCCCTCGCACAGACTGAGGAGGAGTCGGTGTGCTGGGAAATGGCCGTGATGATAGCAGGGTATCAACTTCCACTGCGGTTTACGTTGTCGATAACGGTGCATTTGCACCGCTTAGTGAATACTTAACGTCACCAGTTAAATTTCTTTTTTTCTTTATTTTAAATTTGATATTATTTCCCCTTTCTAGGATGCCCATAGCTTCTGGTTAAAAGTCAAATTTGGGTTAGATATCTGATTTGCTAAAGTGTTTAAAGCTTTACACTCAGTCTCTCCAGCAGAAAACTTCTTTTCCTTGAATGCATCTTTCCCCCTTTAGTCCCAGAAGGAAAGCTGCGTCTCACAGATAACTTGTTAAATGCTGACCTTTGTAAGTTTTCCTTTATTTTTATTTCTGAAATGATTAAGACACATAATCTACAGAATTGGAAATTGTAATTTTTAAAAGTACTGAGAAACTTTAACCCTGTTATAATTATTCGGCAAACCTTTAAAGGATTCTGTAGTCAGTACAACTAGATGAAAAGCTCTGATAGACTGAGAAATATAGAGGGTCATTTGTGAGCTGCAAGTTTTTGACTTGTGTTTCCCACCCACTCGCTCACTCTGCCCCTCTAGTCTCAGAATGATTTCCTACCCTGGGTTCGTGGGAATCGGGAAGGACACTGTTTGATTCATTCTGGGGAAATATACTAGGGATTCTGAAAAAGACAAGACGGGCCAGTTATGTCACTTCCTGTCGCCTGATCAAAGTCTGATGGAGCAACAGACTGACCGAGGGTTACTGCCAGGCGCGGTGGTGCCTGGTGCTGACCCGGGTTTCCAGTGGGGTCAGTCAAGTCGCCGTGGCCTCTGGACCCTTCAGAAGTCCCTGATGTCGGCTGCGCGGCAGCGGGGCTCCTGCTGCAGAGGTAGCGTGTGGGCGCCGGACTGAAGCTGCAGATGAAGCCCCACGGCCCCTGAGCGTTTGGGTCCCGTCTGCATGCATCTTTCTGGGTCTGTTAGTTCAGTTTTATCTCCCATTCCCAGGACCCCAGCAGGCATCACAAGTGAGTGGGCAGATGGGGAGAGAACACAAGCCTTCCCCTCCAGCTTGCGGGCCAAGACAAGGCACGCAGGTAGCTCTATACACCAGCAGGGACCGGAATCTCAGCGTCAGGACTGGACTCTTGGTCCACCAAGTGGAGGAGGTGGGGAAGCTACGGTCTGCTCACTCAGTCCAACAGAGATCAATGACGCTGTGCCCGAGCTGTGTCTTGTGCTGGAGGCTGCGAACACAGACCGAAAACCCAGGCCTTGGTCTGTGAGCCGCAGTGTGTGTGTGGTGGGGGTCTGAGCGGAGGAGCGGGAGTCGGCGCACGGCGGGGAGGGGTGAGGACTGTGCGGGTGCAGGCTGGGCAGCGGCTGGGGCCCCGTTCGGGAGGACGGGCCATGTGGCTGACGTCACCTTGAATGGGAGCATGAAGGACTTTGGCTGGATCCTCACGAGGACCTCCTGAGAGGCAGGGCAGGTAAAGGTGGGGCTGGACGGCTGGAGCTCGCTGCGCCGCCGGGGGTCTGGAGGGCTGGCGTGTCCTACTTCAGGGAGGGAGTCCGAGTCGCCCGGATTCCCCACCCGTGGACCACGCCTGTGACTCCTGCCACGCCCACGGACACTACTACTACCGCTACGGAGTTATGTGTGTTTAAATCAAGTCCTTTTTTTGACCTCAGATGCATTCATATTAAAAAGAACTTTACACGACAGTAAATGCATTAAATGTGCTGTAAGCAGAAGTTAACAGAGAAGGTAAATCAAACAACAAAGCAAAGCAATGGGATGCACGGCTGTCAGAGGTTAACTAGAGTCGCAACTCTGAGCCCCAGGCCTGCTCTGATATTAAGGGGTCAGCAAGAGCTGGTAAAAGACATACTAGCCCTAAATCGAGTCTCTCTCTTCGACAAAACAGGGGGATTGGATGAGAACTGGGAAAGGCATGACCTTCGACCCCACCAGCGAGGAGCGTTACCGGGCGCCAGGCATGGCCTCACACCATCTCC